CCTGGGGCTGGGAAGGTGGCTCAGTGGTAGAGTGCTTGCCTTGCATGCATGAGGCCCTGGGTTCGATTCCTCAGCACCACATAAGCAGAAAAAGCTTGAAGTGGGGCTGATGCTCAAGTGGTAGAGTACTAGCCTTCAGCTGAAGATCTGAGGGACAGCGCCCAGGCCCAGAGTTCAGGCCCCACAACTGACCAAAAAAGATTAGCTCCTCAGTGGTGCTAGGAAGCTTGGGCAGAATAGATGAATGAGAAGCAAATTCAACTGTCACAGCCAGAGTTCAGCTAAAATCAGAGTGTCCTAGGAGGAGGAATATGAATTATTAGCCCTTCATCTTCACCACCAAACAGAGGAAAGGGCTTGCAATCTCTTGGAAATAATGCAAAACAAAATAGACTACCTAGACACACTGACACACTTCATATTCCATTGTTCTTTTATATATATCTGCATTACAGTAAACACTATTAAGCATGCGAAGAAAATATCACCTATAAACAAGAAAATAAAGATCAATAACAGCAGATACACAGGTGACTAAGTCACTGGTAGAGTGCCTGCCTACCAAGTGTGAAGTCTTGAGTCAACCAAAAGAACGAAAAAAAAAAACCCAGCATCACCAACAAAAAAAAACCCAGTTTTTAAAGTGTCAAGAAGGGGGGCTTGGGAAGGTGGCTCAGTGGTAGAGTGCTTGCCTTGCATGCCTGAGGCCCTGGGTTCGATTCCCCAGCACCACATAAGCAAAAAGAAAAAAAAAGCCGGAAGTGGCGCTATGGCTCAAGTGGTAGAGCGCTAGCCTTGAGCTGAAGAGCTGAGGGACAGTGCCCAGACCCAGAGTTCAGGCACCATGACCGGACCCAAAACAATATAAATAAAAAAAAAATAAAGTGTCAAGAAGGGATTCTAGATGTATGTGTGGAATGTGGATACAATTCTTTAATACTTCTTTAATATTGTCATAAATAATTCTGGAATGTTTTTCAATCCTACAAGGCAGATATTTACATCTAAACTTTTTTTTTATTTATTTATTTATTTTTGGGTCCGGTTGTGGGGCCTGAACTCTGGGTCTGGGTGCTGTCCCTCAGCTCTTCAGCTCAAGGCTAGCACTCTACCACTTGAGCCACAGCACCACTTCCGGCTTTTTTCTTTTTGCTTATGTGGTGCTGAGGAATCGAACCCAGGGCCTCAGGCATGCAAGGCAAGCGCCCTACCACTGAGCCAACTTCCCAGCCCCTAAACTTTTTTTTTAAGGGTACAAAAGGCCATGGAATACTGGAAGCTTGGCATCTTGCACTTGCTAGGCAGGAGTCTACCATTTAAGCTGCACATTCAGGCCTGGATTTAAATTTCTTAGTTAAGAAACTAAGATTGTACAGAGAAAAGCAAAAACCCAACAAACAAACCCAACTCACTCTAGAATACTGGACAGACAAATCAAATCCTATACCACTGAATTTCAGATATGAAGTTCTTTTCAAACTCTTGTCACCAATAACATCTGCTGCTTCAATCTTTCCTTCATGTTTATTCTAGAATTCCCTTATATTTCACCCATATTTCTGTCAGAAGCATTGAAGACTCCACTTCTATCATGCTGTCTTAACTGCTATCCTGCTTCTCCTGTTCTTTGCCTACCTGTCAAAGGCATGTGTTCTGTGTGGCTGGACCATTTCTTCCCTACTCACATTTCCACGGGATTCTTATTGCTACCCAGGTCCCCTCTTAAATTCCACAAAGATGTGCACTTATCATTAAAAATTTCAGAGCCAGGCACCAGTGGCTCACTCCTGTAATCCTTGCTACTTAGGAGGCTGAGATCTGAGGGTCACGGTTCAAAGCCAGCCCAGGTAAGAAAGTCTGTGAGACATCTCCATTTAGCCACCAGAAAACTGGAAGTGGCACTGTGGCTCAAGTGGTAGAGCACTAGACTTGAGCTGAAGGCTGAGGGATAGCACCCAGGCCCAGAGTTCAAGCCCTATGACCCCCCGTCCCAAAAGAAAAAAAAAACAAACAAACAAAACTCAGAACTTAATTCTCACTCATTTTGCTTTAAATATTATACTGACATTTATCTTAGATTCCAAGTAGTATCTATTGTTTTTTAGGTATGAGTTACTTTTTTTTCCTCTACAAAAATGAGCACAATGTTAGTTCTATATGTTAGTAAGAAATAAGAGTTACACAGACAAGGCTGCTATGAACAAGGAAACTGCCACCACCTCCCTAAACAGACAAGTTATATCTTTAAAAACCATGATGACAGGGGCTAGGAAGGTGGCTCAGTGGTAGAGCGCTTGCCTTGCATGCATGAGGCCCTGGGTTCGATTCCTCAGCACCGCTTAAGCAAAAAGAAAAAAGCCAGAAGTGGCGCTGTGGCTCAAGTGGTAGAGCGCTAGCGTTGAGCTGAAGAGCTGAGGGACAGCGCCCAGGCCCAGAGTTCAGGCCCCACGACCGGACCCCCCCCAAAAAAAAAAAAAAACAACCATGATGACAAAATGACAGGCAACTCCAAACAACTCACCTGTGATTCTGTTGCTAGGAATTCAGGACTCACTTTAGTCACTAATCTTTCTCCCTGGTTGTCATCAACATTCTGAGAGAGCAGAGCTGGGGAAAGAAAAGAACCATAGGCTTTCATCTCCTTAAAACTCCTAGATAGAAAACCTAACTGCCTGACAGGCGCTGGTGGCTCACACCTATAATCCTAGCTACTCAGGCTAAGATCCAAGGATGGTGATTCAAAGCCAGCCCAGGCAGGAAAGTCTGTGAGACTCTTATTCTACAACTAACCACCAGAAAATTCAAAGTGGTGCTGTGGCTCAAAATATTAAGAGTGCTAGCCTTGAGTAAAAGAGCTCAGGGAGGGGCTGGGAAGGTGGCTCAGTGGTAGAATGCTTGCCTTGCATGCATGAAGCCCTGGGTTTGATTCCTCAGCACCACATAAGCAGAAAAAGCTGGAAGTGGCGCTATGGCTCCCGTGGTAGAATGTTAGTCCTGAGCTGAAGAGCTGAGGGACAGCACTCAAGCTCAGAGTTCAGGCCCCAGGTCCCACAAAAAAAAAAAAAAAAAAAGAGCTCAGGGACAGTGCTTAGGCACTGAATGACAGACAAAAATAAAACAAAACAAAAAAAAACTTGCCTGGGGATGCACTGACTGGTGCTTCTCCTCGATACTGGCAGAGAAGGGCATTCAGACTCAGCAGCTTCAAGCCTAATTAATGAAGAGGTCCTCGTTTGGATATTAATATATCCCAAAGGCCAGTGTTGGCCCAAAAGCACAAATCTATCAGCCATTCCTTTGTTCAAAAACCCTCAGAGGGGGGCTGGGAAGGTGGCTCAGTGGTAGAGTGCTTGCCTTGTATGCATGAGGCCCTAGGTTCGATTCCTCAGCACCACATAAGCAAAAAGAGAAAAGCCAGAAGTGGCGTTGTGGCTCAAGTAGTAGAGCACTAGCCTTGAGCTGAAGAGTTGAGGAACAGCACCCAGGCCCAGAGTTCAGGCCTCATGACCGGACCCAAAAAAATAAATAAATGAAAACCCTCAGAGGTTCCCAGTGCTAAGAAAGACAAATCTGAATAGTTCATCATAGATTCTGCAACCTCCAAACTGCCATCCTGTATATATGGATAATACCTGCACCACACTCTTAATTCTCCCTTAAGACTAACTATTTGATAGATGCAAAGAATGATAGAAGGGGGGACATGGATGAAGATGCATTGGGCTCGTAAACTAACATGTTGAATTGAAAACCATTTGTACAACTACTTAAAGATAATAATAAGAGCCTAAATATTCCCCACTGTAAAACACTCTTCAAGGTACCCACTTTTCTTTCTTAAAAACTATAGAAAACTAAGACTCTTCTAGGCCTGATTCAGTGCTATGTGTTTTAGTGAAAATGTCCCAGATAGATTCAATCTAGAAGACCTTGAATTCCAAAAGAACTTTTCTTAAGCCATCTTCTATTATTTTAATCTGGGAATGTGACTACCTTGTCAGCTAATAAGTATTAGAGATAATTATTCAGGCTGGGTGCTGGTGGCTCACGCCTGTAATCCTAGCTACTCAGGAGGCTGAGATCTGAGGATCGTGGTTCAAAGCCAGCCCGGACAGGAGAGACCGTGAGACTCCTATCTCCAATAAACCACCAGAAAACCAGAAGTGGTGTTGTAGCTCAAGTGGTAGAGTGCTCGCCTTGAGCTGAAGAGCTGAGGGACAGGGCCCAGGCCCAGAGTTCAAGCCCCATGACCCACCAAAAAAAAAAAGAGATAATTATTCATTTTATTCCTCTTTTCAGCTGCTCAGCCAAGTCCCTACCTAATAGGCCTAGAACACAATAAAATTAATGGTAGACTGTAAGGCACCAGTGACTCATGCCTATAATCCTAGCTACTCAGGAGACTGAGATCTGTGGATCAGGGTTTGAAACTAACCCGGGGAGGAAAGTCCATGAGATTCTTTTTTTTTTTTTGGGGGGGGAGAGGTCCAGTTGTGGGGCCTGAACTCTGTCCCTCAGCTCTTCAGCTCAAGGCTAGCGCTCTGCCACTTGAGCCACAGCGCCACTTCCAGCTTTTTTCTTTTTGTTTATGTGGTGCTGAGGAATCGAACCCAGGACCTTATGCATTCAAGGCAAGCGTTCTACCACTGAGCTACCTTCCCAGCCCATTCATGAGATTCTTATCGCCAATTAACTACCAGAAAACTGGAAATGATGCTGTGGCTCAAAAGGGTAGAACACTAGTCTTGAGAGCAAAAAAATTCAGAGACAGTGCCCAGGCACTGAGTTCAATCCCCATGACTGACAAAAAGAAAAGAAAGAAAGAAAAAAAAAGAGACTTAGCAGAATATAAAGTATAATGAACATAATGGAGATATCACATGATAACCATGAATTCCAGTGTCTTTCTACTCCTGAACTGACTACTAAATAGTCCACAGAGTTAAGGAAAAATGAGAGCAGTCAAGTGTGTCATTCCTGATTCTCAGAGGAAGATGAAAACCAAAAACTGATGCTTGTGGGCTGGGGAGGTGGCTCAGTGGTAGAGCGCTTGCCTTGCAAGCCTGAGACCCTGGGTTCGATTCCTCAGCACCACATAAGCAAAAAGAAAAAAGCCAGAAGTGGCGCTGTGGCTCAAGTGGTAGAGCGCTAGCCTTGAGCTGAAGAGCTGAGGGACAGCACCGAAGCCCAGAGTCCAGGCCCCACAAACGGACCCAAAAAAAACCGAAAAACAAAAAAACCTGATGGTTGTGAAGAAAAATACTGGCCTAGGATTAAAATGACCAGAACCTGTGCAGAAGACTCTGAGATTTAAGCAGATAGAAACCTTTGATTCCTCTGCCAGAATCACATTCCCATGCTCAGGAGCCACTGTGGTTACAGTGCTCTGCCTTCCTATTGGGTGTTACAGGTGTGGATGGGAGCAGCATAGGGCACATGTTACAAGGAGCCAGAGCTGAGAGTCCGTTATCTCCTTTTATACCTACTCTCTTCCCCAAAGACACAAGCATGAACCCCATGAAGACATTCCCCACTTATTTTCTCCCTAAAAGACCACCCCAATGAAGTATATACTTTCATACAAATAGGACCTCCATTCATCTGTTCTTACCTTCTCCTTCAAACAATTTAGTCACATCCTCCCACAGGGACGCCTCCTCCTTGGCCTTCTTTGGATGGTGCAATTTCACCCAGGTGTTGACCTCAGTGGGCAGGGAGATCAGGAACTGCTGTGGCATGATGATGCCTACTTGATTGGGAATACTCCTTTTTGGTGAAGAAATTACTGGAACCTCTGCTTATAGGCTTCAGTTATATAATCCTCCTCAGATCACAATCTGGCTTTCAAGACTTTGGAATTTTGATGTGTCCCTGCAGTGTTGAGCTGGAACCTCCTAGAGGCTGGTGTGGCTTTACAATTCTGGAAAATGGACACTGGAGGCGGCAAGATTAGTGGGTTTGAGTAACTACTTTGCATATTCTTTTAGAGCAAAAAGCTAGATCGAAGGGAGGGATCCAGAGGCATCTGCAATGCAGTCCTAAACCCAGAAATGTTTAAGACTGCAAAAGAAGCTGGGTGCTGGTGGCTCACGTCTGTAATCCTAGCTACTCAAGAGGCTGAGATTTGAGGATCACTGTTCAAAGCCAACCCAGACAGGAAAGTCCATCTTATCTCCAATTAACCACCAGAAAACTAGAAGTGATGCTGTGGCTCAAGTGGTAGAGTGCTTAGCTTGCGCTGAAGAGCTCAGGGACTGTGCCCAGGCCCAGAGTTCAAACCCCTCCCCCCAAAAAGACTGCAAAAGATCTAAAATATTTGACATTAATGCAGGAGTAAGTATAATCAAGGTTCTTGGATGTAGCTCTATCTCCCATATATGCACATAAGAATATATACAAACACACAAAGATGTGCAAACATGCACAGAACCTGCCTTGACTTCCTGCCTTGAAAGATGCAGGCACCTTCTGCTGAGACAGACTTAGGATTTAGAAAAAAGACTCTGAAATCAGACAGCCTGGTCAGAACCCTGACACTTGCCTTAGCTCTTAGGCACTCACTGCAAGCTCTGAGCTTCAGGTTACTTATCCACAAAAAGGGAACAAAGCATGGGGCTGGGAAGGTGGCTTGATGGTAAAGTGCTTGTCTTGCATGCACGAGGCTCTGGGTTCTATTGCTGTGGCTCAAGTGGTAGAGAGCTAGTCTTGAGCAAAAGAGCTCAGGGACAGAATCCAGGCCCTGAGTTAAAGCCCCAGGACCAAAAAAAAAGGGAGGGGGGAGAATACCGTGGCTCACGCCTGCAATCCTACCTGCTCTGAAGGTTGGGACCTAGAGGATCACCGTTTAAAGCCAGCCCAGGAAGAAAAGTCCTCAAGACTTCTCCAATTAATTAGCAAAATGCTGGACTGGAGGTGTGGTAGCTCAAGTGACAGAGCACCAGACATGAGCAAGAAAACTAAGCAAGACAGAGACTCTGATTTCAAACCCCAGTAGTAACTATACTTCTCACAGGTACACAGATAGGTCTTGTAGTATAAGCATTTCATTTCAATGTTGTGTCATAACCCCTCTCTTTTAACCTTATTTCAAAAAAAAAAAAAAACAACCCAAAACCACACAACTAGAAATCGTTATCTTGACTATCTCTATGATAGAATAACCCCACAGTTGGGTTTTGGCAGGAGCAAGCAGGGACAGACACATCCCACCCACGCAAATGCTCAGCAGCTGGCAGAACTGCACCCTAGTTTCAGAAATGTTAAAATTGGGGGGAAGGTTATGTGCTCAAAGGGAGGAACTACAGTCCTTCAGGTACAATGAGTACTCCTGCAGAATTGTTTGTAACCGGCACATTTGGAAACAAGCCAAATCTATCATCTCATGCAAGCCCTGGCATCTGAACAGGGACCTTGGAATCTAGGGCCAGTGGATCTGAGATCCCAACAACCGTCCACAGAGGAAATGTAGAGGGAGGGGAGAAGAACTGGTCTGGATTTTTTCAAGCTTGTGATGAAGGGATGGGTTCTGGAAAGTGTAGAAAACATCCCGCCACTGGATATATAAAAAGTCTCGTTACTGAAGTTCAGAAACTTTCAGTTCTTCCTTAAGAAACAGTTAATGACAGAGAAGCTTCCCTCCGAAGATGCCGGGTCCTCAAAGAGCTCCCGGCCAGGCCCCCCGGGGGGACAAAAAGACCGCAGGGCTGGGGAGCCGCCCACTCACCGGATGCTCGGACGCCGGGACCCGCCGCGATGGCGTGGGCAGAGGCCCGGTGGCCGCCGCAGGGCTGGGCGAGCGGATCCTCTTCCTTGCCAGCCTTTTAAGGACAGGGTTCGTGCAGACTTCCTCCCTCAGCCCCGGGAGTGGTCCCAGGGTCTTTTCCCAATTCCCGTCCAGGGTCCGCTGGGGCTGCTGGGAGGGGCGCTCTGAAGCGGCTTCTAGTACACACGCGTGAGGACTTCCCACACTCGCTGCTGCTTCAATGCTAAAGCCAGTGTCGCCTCGCAAACCATCCCCTGTTCCATAGGCCGCAGCCCAGCGCGTCCCGCGCCTTTGCCCCGCGATGCGTCCTCCCCAGCACCAGCTGCGCGCCCCGCCCTCCCCACCAGGCTCCGCCCCTCCCCTCTGATTAAGCCCCGCCCAGCCCTGCGTCGCCGCGTCGAGCCGAGGCCACGCCCATCAAGGCCCTGCCCTCCTCGGGAGGCTAGCGCTTTACAGTCAGGAAACCGGAAACTGTCTAATGCTAGGCAGCGCCAAACTCTGCCCAGACCTAGGATGGCAGCGTGGTGGGACTGTTCTTCCTGGAAAAGCTTGATCACTGCCATTCTTCACTCACACGTTCATTTCTTCCGTCACGCCAGTTGCTGCCTTTTCACATAACTTTGTTCTGGTGAAATCAATTGATGAGGTAAGTATTTTTTCACAGCAATAAAAGGCTGAGTGATACTGATGGTAAGGTATGTTGTAACCACAGTAAAACTACCAATACAACAAAACGGTTTTGGGGGTGTTTATTTCCTCTAAGCAGACACCTGCTAGCACCCAATTTGGACAAATTCTTAAAGCCCATTTGTATTAATGGACTGTGATCCACTTTTTTTTTAATTTAATTTTATTTTATTTGTGAACATACTGTACAGAGGGGTTACAATTACATGGGCAGGATAATGCGTACATTTCTTACCAAGCATTGCAGCCTCCTCCTTTGTTTACCCTTCACATCCCTTCCCAGCCTCCCCCCTCCCCCCCAATCCCAATCCTTCTCCTTTCCCCCCCCTCCCCCGCACCGACGTTGTAAAGCTCGTTTTGGACATGACAACTTGTACTTCTCATTGTTGCAGCAGGTCCACCTGTATCCTTAAACAACTGGTTTTTCCCCATCTCCTCCACAAGTTATACTGACATCAAATATAGTGAAAGCAGAGGTTATACTGTGGGGGAGGGACATACAAAGCAACAAAGAGATAATCTTATAAATGCGTTAGAAACACATGCATGAAAGAAAAAAACATTAAAATACATATCTAAGGGTTCATTTTCCTGACATCACATTATCTGACCTTTTCCGCTTGACTCATACATATACTAGATATTGCATATAAGGGAAACCATGGGACCTATGTTTCTTTGGGCCTGGCTTACTTCACTTAATATAATTTACACTCCCAGGATAGTTAAGATTACAGGTGCACACAGTGCCCAGATTTCTTCCCTTGAAATGGAGTCTTGTGAACTTTTGCTCTGGTTAGCCTGGAACTACAGCCCTCCCAATCTCAGCTTCCTGTGTAACTTGAAATACACCCCATTGTGTCCAGCTTTTTGGTCATGTATCTGATGTTAAATAGGTGAGACATTTTAAGTCGTATAAATGTCTGAGACCAGGGACAATGTTAGTGAAATGAGCTCCCTCCCCATAGCTTAGTACACTCCTTCTCCTCTCCAAAGTTTAGCATGCTCCCTTCCTAGGCAACACTAGGCCTGTTTAGTAAAGGCAGTAAATATAAATAATCAGCCTTCAACCCCCTTTACCTTGGATGGCATTTCTCTGTGGCAGCTACCAACAAACATATTGTAAGGTATATTAACTAGGTAGGTTTCATTAGGTAGCCGATGAAGAGAACACCACACGCTATTCAGGCAAGAAAAGGAGTTTATTTTCCGAACTGCTGACCCAGCCATGCATAGTGGAGAAGCGTGGTTGAAAAGGAAAAGGGGGGAACCCACCTCTGGGCCAGGACTTATCTAGGCCAGGGTCAGGAAGAGGTGTGGCCAAGTGGGGGAAAGGTGTGGCCACACTGGATCTGGATGTGACCTCAGGGTCTGGGACCCTCCTAAGGTCACATGAGAGGCATGTGACCAGAGGTGGCCCAGGATTTGACCTAGCATGGGGGAAAGGTGACTGCTTCCTGGTCTGACAGTTATCTAGGTAACAGATACTGGGTAGCAACTTAGCCAAGAGGGAGCGAGGTGTCCCTGTTCAGACCTTACACATATTAGGCAACAAGAGCCCCTTAGAATGACCTTCAGGTCTGGGCAGTTGCAGCACCCCTTATTTACTATTTGGACAGCAGCCACAAATCCTAGTCTGCCATGATGAAGCCCCTGGCCCACTAGTCCGCACCAGGGTCTCCACCTCCTAGCCCCTTTTGGCGCCTCCTAAACCTCCTAGTGTAGGAAGACCCCTACTCAGGCTGGCAAGCCCACCTAGTCATCCGGAGTGACAGAGCCCACCGCAACAAAGTTGTTAATAAGCAATTTTATTGAGAAGGTTCCTACACTGACCGGCCAGGGCCACAGCACAGGCTGGGGAGCTGATACTGCGACCCAGAGCTTTTTTTGTTTGTTTGTTTTTATTGTGAAAATACCGTACAGAGGGGTTAAAAGTACGCGGGCCAGGTAATGAGTGCATTTCTTATCAAGCATTGTTGTCTCCTCCTTTGTTTCCCCTTCCCATCCCTCCCATCTCGTCCCCCCCACCACCACTCCCCCCTCAGCACTTGGTTTTTAAAGGCAAAATTCACAAGGTCAAGCCTGGTCTCACAGATGACCAATGAGATTGTCACACACACAAAAGATTGCACAGTCATACCAGACCACACGCTGGTGGCCAATGAGGTTACCGTTTGTCACATAATGGCTATTTAAACCAGCCTATCCCTTTTGGTTTAAATGATGCACAAATTCAGAGGGTAAGGCATGCACAAGTAAGCATGCACAAAGGAGGAGTTTAGTGGAGTTTACCATTAGCACGTGAAAAAGGCAGAGTTTATGGTAATGTTGCCTGTTTGAGCCAGATTACAACCTACCTGTTTTGTCGGTCAGTCCTTAACAGAACAATCAAGGTGGGTTCAGTTGTTAAGGGGAGGGGGACCTATAGGCATTCTTTCCATTGCAGGAACTGGGCTGGTTGGAGCCAATGTCTAGTTAACCTTGTTTAAAGGTGTTTCCCCTCCCCCCCTAAAATCCCTAAAACAAATTTAAAGCCTGAAAAGAAGCTGTACCAGCTCAAGCCTCCTCTCAGGGCCTACTTCACTAGGTTATATATGTTAGGTTTTTAAAAAGAGTTAGCCCAGTAAGAACTGCACCACGTACGTGATATTCAGGTAAGGGGTATTTTTGTTCATCGTTCAGGCTGGCACCAGGCCATCTTGGTCCTCCACACGATGGGGAAAGGCCTGGGAAAGAATGCTGGGAGATCTGGGAAAGAGAAAGATCTGGGAAAGAGAGAGATGGGGAAAAGAGCTGAGAGAGAGCTAGAAAAGAGAGAAAATAGCTAGAAAAGAGCAGAGCTAAAGAAGAGCAGAGAGAGAGCTAGAAAAGAGAACGGAGCTGAGAAAGAGAAGAAAAGGAAAAAGCTGAGAGCTAGAAAAGAGCAGAGCGAGTCTGGGCCTGGGCTAGGCCTTATCTAGGGTAAGGGTAGAGAAAGGTGTGGCCACATCAAATTCAGATGTGACCTCAGCAGATGCAGATGTGACCTTCCAGGTGTCCCTGGTTCCTAGGTAATGCGGGTACTGGGTGGAGACTTTGCTGCGAGGGTGGAGTCTACCCACCATCCAGGAGAGGACCTTACAATATAGGTCAACTCAGACAATAGCTGGTGCTTCTTCTCACTTCTCCCTTGTGAGAAGGGGTCTTGCGGGTCCTTTCCCTGGCAATAAACCTTTCTTTGTTCTCTGTACCTAGATGTCTGTGTGGTTTTCTGATAAAGTCTAATTTACCCTATCAGACAAGGTATAGAGAAAAGTGAGCCAGGCCCTTCAATCAAAGAACTAATGAGAAAACTCTAAATCTAAGCCTGAAGGACTAAGCTAACTCCATTCTAAAAGCAAGCCATCATCTCCTAACTGACATCAGGTTAAAGTTAAGGGACAAAATAGTTATTGGAAAAACCAGTTTTTGGAAAAGTTCTTGGAAAACCCACAATCGAAACTGCAATTATACCCCTAGCAACCCCAGTTAGATAAGGGTTAAGAAACAGGACCCCAGTTACTGGAAAATGGACAGGTTGGTCAAGTTCCTGGAAAAAGCAGCTGTAGGGTCATAAACAGTTAAAAAAATATATTGTTGCCTGCATTCCTATGGTTAGTCTTATGTATCCCAACCAATGATCTGCTTGCTATGTAGGATTTAACCAATCCTGTAACTACTAAGTTGGAAAGCCCCTACCCTTACTTAACCAATGAGCTTACCCCGAAATTTGCTGACCAATTATGTAGAAGCCCACAAACCTTCAACCCCTCCAATTTGCTGGAAACCCTATAAGGACTCTACTGAACATGTGGTCAGGGCTCACAACTCTGACCCACTGTGTTGGTGATGATAGTGAGTCCAGGCTCAAGCTTGTAAATAAACGACTCTTCTGCTGTTTGCATTGGTCATGGTCTCTAGGGGTCACTCGGGGATCTTGAGTTGAGTCTAACAAGCCCACCAAAACATGGCAAACTATAAGGAACAATATGTAGTCTTATTCTATTTTAGTCCATCAAAGTTACACAACTTAAGAGGACAGTTTTCTTAAAAAGTAAATAACAATAGTAAAAAAAAAAAATCAAGCCAAGCACTGGTGGCTCACTCCTGTAATCCTAGTTATCTCAGGGGGCTGAGATCTGAGAATCGCACTTCAAAGCCAGCCTTGGCAAGAAAGTCCATGTGATCTTATCTCTAATAAACCACTAGAAAACCAGAAGTGGTGCTGTGGCTCAAGTGGTAGAGTGCTAGCCTTGAACTGAAGAGCTGAGGGACAGTGCCCAGGCCCAGAGTTCAAGCCCCATGACCAACAAAAACAAAACAAAACAAAAAAATCAGAGATACTGTATATTCTGGATTAACAGCTTAATTCTAGAGTTCACATCTATGATACTCAGGTAGCTGAACAGTTTGTGTTAAATCTCCATAAGATTGAAGATTAACTTGACCTAATTCTAAATTGTATATTTGTAAGGATGCAGTTCCTATTTTACTAAGTATGGGAAAATTTCATTGTTAGACTCGAACTCGAGACCCCCCCCCCCCAGCGACCAGACCAATGCAAACAGCAGGAGTCATTTATTTGCAAGTTCGAGTCA